CCCGTACATTAAACTGCATACGAATAGCATCCCATAAATAGTAACATTCAAATCCTTTTCTCAAACATGAACATTCTCTATAAAATAGGAAATAATTTAAATTTATTAACACAGCAAACTAAAAACAAATTCATATATATGCATTAAATAACTCACGTATCAAATTGAAAATAATCCAAAATATAACAGAGCTTCCATGCTTCAATGGTAAAACTATGAAGTTTCACGCAAATAAAGTCCTTGTCTTCAACCTTGATCACTTTCCGTTTGAACCATATGTTACTTCGATGGTCAAATTCATGTTTATACATATCATTATTTAACAATTCCGACAAAGTTAAATCTCCTAATTCAGCTCCAAGTTTACTTAGACTTCGCTTACGTCGTTTATCTTTACTCCTTTCCACCCATACTGATACTGTAAGATTGATGTTATAATCACTGTGCAGTTTGACTAGGCCATCGTACGTATCACTAATGTCGTCGTCAGTATCATCAAATACAAAAGTAAATGTCTTAGTAAAATCGTCATAAGTTGGTGATAATTTTTGAATCCATTTAAAATAGCTTAAGTCGCCATTAAAGTACGTTAACTATTGTTTAAGGGTAATGATTTATTTATTAAATTTACTACATTAATTTATCATAATTTATCATAAAAAAATTTTTTTTTGTATTTACCTCAAGTTTCAAGCCAGAATTTAACCTAGAAATAACTTCTTTGTGCGTTACTAAAGGAACGAAAGCATTCCACTTTTTGCAAACAGTTCGTAAAGTGCCAAATATCTGAAAACTATTATTTATCAATATATATTATTAAATTAATAAATAAAAAATTTCGTGAAAAATGATATAAACTTACCCTGTTTCTGTAACAACATATATTAATATTTCGATCTGCAACTCATTAGGAAGAATTTGAATCATTTCAAAATTTTAATTCACGCTCTCACTTCATATTCTGTCAACTTATAACCAGGACCCCTGGCACGTGATTCGTACTATTTTATTCATCCCCCGATCCATTATTTCAAGATCACGGGGATTAATGAATAAGATCCTGATTCGTGTATAAACAGAAATTTCATTTCCGCTAATTCCCAACGGATTAGGATACGTATTATTATTACAAACAATGTTCTTAAAATTTGGGGATACAGTATTATTATTGATATACTATTATTTATACAGGCTGTTTCAAAAGTTCCACTACTGATCCCTATTTTTCAGTGATCTTATATATATATTTGGGTAATTATTTTTGAGTCCAGACCAATTTATATACAGTATATGACGTAATAATATTTTGGTTTGGATTCAAAAATAATTACCCATTTGCATAAACAATCATCGTAACCTCTATATATAAGGTCACTGAAAAAATAGGGACCAGTAGTGGGACTTTTGAAACATTCGGTATATAGATATCAAGCATTGCGGCTCGTTTGTAAAATACACCAAAATTTGAAAATTTGACCACCGATTGGGAGTCATTTAATTGACTTCACATATATGTAATGTTGTTATTCTGATCTAACGATGATATCCTTTTTAAATTTTCTGTTATATATAAAATACTATCAATGTTACTGACGGTCATTGTAAATTATTAAATTGTTTAAAATGGGTGTCTAAAAGTACAGAAATTTAAGATGGGTTGCGCTAATGGGAAAAATGGGTTAGACATATGGGAAGATGGGTTAAACGCATTGTTATTATAGATTGGAGTGCCGATAATTTTTTTAGGGAATTCAATCTTAAAAATTAAATAATAAATTGTCCCTAAAACTTAAATTTGGGGACCAAAAATTAGTTAAATTTGACAAACGCGTTTGTTTGTGCTCCAAAAGTTAAGGGTATTTCCCGATCGGTTGTGGTTAGATTTTTATTTGACAGATATATCGCATATCGAGATCAATATAAATAAATATCCACAGTGGGTGATTGGTTGTTGAATTAGCGAAAAAAGTAATCGGTTAGACGCGATTCATATATGAAATTTTTACAATTGGAAAATGTGCGCCAGGTTGGTGGCGCAGACAAAATTCTTAAAATATGCTAAGGTTAGGATGTTTAAGAGTTAGAGAGGAGTTGTAATAGTAAAATTGTCTGACGAAAACTTTTTGTTAGAGCACAAAAGGTGGATTATTATGCTAATTTTTGAGTTATGAACGGTTTTTGGAGAACGACTCTTCTCGATCGTGTTACGTTACACAATCTCGAATCTGATTCGTAGATTAGGAGAATACGTCACCAACCTGGTACGTACACATTTTCCAATTGCAAATTTTTTGAATTCAGGGCACTTTCTAGTGACATACACATCAATTGACTGCTAATATTTAACAAAGAATTATAATTTAAGGGATCTTTGATCAGATTTTATCAGTTGTAATGACCAAAAAAAAAGGTCCAATAAATAAAATTTGCCCATACGGAATACAATTTATGCATGTATGAATTAACCCTCTTTAAGGACTTCCCAAATTTTGGTCAATTGATTGGCCGATTAATTGAATGTCATCAAAACGAAAAGATACATCCATTGTTTTTATGTGATTTAAATATAAATATAACCAATCGTTGCTTAATACCGTGCAATCAAAATATAAATCAACTTAACCGTAATCGGTGCATACCTAGTTAGGGTGTTTCATGCAAGCCCGATTACAATAATAGTGCAAGGTGGTGTAGTGATGATCATTAATCGATTTTTTTTATTAGTGGCAGCGTAAATAAAGCTGCTCGATACGATAGTATCGAAGCAGCTTTTGTCTCGAATCAGCACATGACTAGGCATATGTCATGCCCGATTACAGGCACATGAGTAGTTAATCAGTATTTCTAGAATGAGGTAATTATTAGTAATGAATTAGAGTAGGAAAAATGAAGTAATAGTTACGATCAGTAAATTGAATCAGTATTAGTAATGATGACGTGTATGAGTTAAGTTAATTATAGTATTTAAGTACGTTAATGGTTAGAAGAAGAAATAACTCTATTTCTTCTGCGAACCCGACACTTAGTCTGGTTTTGTCGATCCCTCCACCCAGCCCAATGGAAGGTTCTAGTTAACCATTTAATTCAAATTGTCGCGGGATCAACAGGTAATCAGTAAAAATACGATTAGATGGCCTGTCGGGACGACAGTCATGGGTTTTTCTAAGACACGTATAATTTTTCGTGTACAGTATATTTGTTATGAATTGTGGCCTGTCGGGACGACAGCCACTCATGAATTGATGTGACCTGTTGGACGACAGTCACAAGGTAAAACTAACGAAACATCAAAAATAATTAGAAAGCGATTTTAGTAAATACTGCATGAGATGCTCGACAGCAGAGGGAATAAACCCGTATGTAGGGTTCGGCATGGGCCGGGTCGGGTTTGGGCCCGAGCCCGGCCCATTAAATTATAAACCCGGCCCAGATCTAGCCCAATAAAAAAGTTAAGCATGGGCCGGGCCGGGCTAAACTCTAAAACCCGACACGATAAAACCAAATAAAAAAAAGTGCCCGCACGACCCGGCTGGCCCATGTTAATTGACTTTTCAAAGCCTATTGTTATTTATAAAGCCTGGGCTCAGCCCAAACCCGGCTTACTATTAGCCCGGCCCAATCTGGTCACTATTTTTTAGGCCCGGTTTAAACCCGGCCCAGTATTTTTAGGCCCGGTCCGTTAGGGTGATCATCAAACTAATAAAATCAAACTATAGGTAGCCGTACATATAAAATTTACTATGTAAGGATTTTTTACAGGTTTTTTGACGATCTCGGAAATTTCGGAAATTTCACTTTTTGCAAATTATTTTCTTTATTTATCTAACAACTTATTTTTTTTATTTATTGAACAGATTATTAAACAGTTTATTGGCCTCAATTTCTCCAAATGTTGTTTGTTTTTTTTATTGTCCCGTTTATCAAATTTTCTTTTATTCCTTCTTTGAACTGCCAGATCTTCATTGGATAAAGAAATTTGTTTAATACCAGAAAGACGTAGTTTTGCTTTTTTAGTTTCCATATTCATAATTTTTGTGACATTTAAGATCATACTTGTTGAATAAACCCTCGACCTGTTGCTGGTGAATGACAATATAATAAATTTGACACTTGACGAATTCATATAGTAAAGGAAAATTGTGAATTGGTAAGTTATCAGAATTAGCAAAATCAAATAACTCCTTTAAAAATGACAAATCTTCCATTGCTTGTAACAACCCAAAATCGTTAGAATTGGATTCTTCAATATTCGATTTTAAAATAGTTGAGTAACATAATTTCTTAAGACTAGGAATTTGGCCTCTCTGTCTATTTAATCTTATATTTAGATAACTTCTAGCAAATTCGTGACCATTTTTACCACCTAATCGATATACACTTAATGGAAGATGAATCCATATGTTTAACTATTTTTTTAAAGAATTTATAGTATTATCAATACCACTTTCTAAACTAATAAAAAATTGTTCAAATGCTTTATTATCCAGAAGATTAGTAGCATTCTACAACTCATCATCAAAAAACAAACAAATATTATCTCTAATATTATACAAATTTCTTATTCATTTAACATATGCATTAGACATCTCATGGGCTCGTCGACCAGGTGGAAGTGGTAGTAATTGACCATCTGATTGAAGAATCTGCAGTTCTTTATCAGATCCAATAAAAAAATTCATTATTGGTTTATAAATTTTTTTACCAAATTTTGTAAGGTATTCGACTTGAATTTTTAAACCTAAGGCGCAATTAGATGAGTTAAAAAAAAATAAAAAAATACAGATTTTACATACCAAGTTTGTACAAACTGATAGCCAAATTTATATATAACATTTTTAATTAAATCGAGTATATAGTAAAGTAGTATGGTACAAAAATATAAATTAGAACAGACATGTAAAAATCAAGATAATATGTACGGTTGTAAAAGAAAAATATCGTCAAGCCCAGGTTATTTTTACTAATTACCCATGAAAAAAAAACAATACTAGCACTCATCCTTTACTTATAAAAATTGAATTTTACAAGTCTATATATATTAGCGTACTATCAAAACTTAGTACGTACATATATATATATAATTTTCATATATTCGTCTGAATTTGTACTAGTATACAGCACTACTTTACTGAGTACTTTGTAATTTTGGTACCATTCGATTTATCAAATAATATCAAATTATATAATTTAAATCATTAGGTCATGAGATATTGTGATTTTTAATTATGAATTTGACTGTCAATTTGTACGAACTTAGTACGCAAAACTTGTAAAAATAAAAAAATAAATAATGCAAAAAAAAAAAAATTAAAATTAAAATTAAATTTTAAACCTGGATCTGTGAGCCATTGCTAAAGAAGTTTCCACTTATCAAGATATAGTTTTGGAATTTTTTTTTGTGACTTAAGATTGTTTAAAAACCAGTCAGTAAATTTTTCTACATATTCTCTCCTTTCTACTAGTTGTTTCGCCACTTGCAATTCATATAACCATCATTGTCGTAAAGGCTTTTGAAATTGTGTTAAATGAATGCTGAAGAGTTCAAAATATAAATTGAAAATATAAAAAGACTTCATATTTATTGAATTATCTTTGTTACTTTCACTATAACCATTATGTAGTTTCCAAATAAGGTAAAGTAAATTAAACGGATACTTTTGGTTAGAAAGCATTTTCGACTTTTAATTTACCAAATGTGGCATTTTCAAAATGTAATATCATTATGTGTGCCGAATAAAGTCCATATGATATCTGAAATGAATTAGAATTAGTCTCCTTATTAAATAATATTACCACACTATTTTTACAACCTGATATATATGCCGTATTGTCAGTTGTTCAAGTTAAACATTTTGTTAGATCTAACTGATATTAGTTGCACGATTTAAGAACAGTGGACGCAACTAATAATCTCGAACATTGAGCTAAATCTTCAAGTTCTAATAAGAAAACTTTTGGCTCATTAGAAACCAAATCCCAATACATAAAACATATAACAAAGACTTTACTATCACCACGTGTTGACTTATCTGCCATAATACCAAAAATAAACCACATAGAAATTTTAGAGATTGCACATTGTTGAATTATATAGATATTCGAAACATCCTGATGCTATCCAATGAGTATACTAACAGAGAACCATTTATCCAGCTCTTCGTTTATTAGCCACTCAATTACTTTTTTCGTGCAAATTACAGCAGATCGATAGAACATTTAACCAATTTCACAAATTTATGTAGTCATTAAAACAGTTTTAGAACTATACTGTTTTTTATTTATTATAAGTCGATCTTGAATGGCTAACTTTAATTGTTTATCGATGATCGTAGGTATTTTATGTGCTACAAACCGAGCCAACAAAATTTTTTTTTTACGAATTTGCTTGAATTTTTTAACTTTATTGTGCAAAGATATATTGATTTTTTGTAGCCGATTTACTTTTCTAGTTGATGGTTTTCTATGTTTAATTTGGCCATTATTTGAATGATATAAAGACCATTCAATAAAATCATAAGCTTTTTGTTATATGTACTTTAAAAAAATTTGGCCAGTTTTAGGTTCTTTACTATATCTCATACGATTTAATAATGAGACCCCAAGACTCAACTCATTATTATCTATTTGTGTTGTTGCATCTAATAAAATAATCCACATTTTTTAAATATTCAGGTTGGCAAAATTGTGCTTGTACAAGTTTTTCAATTATGTTTATAAACGTTGTTAGAATTGAGTCTAGTAAATTAACTATGTATTTTATAAGTTTATTGACATTTCTTTGTTTAATGTCTAATTCTATATTTGAGTTATCATTATAACTATCATGATAGCTATTGCTATCATCATAGTTATCTTGATAACTATCGTTATAATTATCGTGAAAGCTATCATTATAGTTATCGTTGTTGCTATAGCCATCGTTATTATTATAGCTATCAGTATAGCTATCATTACTTGTTTTAGCAATCTTTTTTTTTGAAAATTGCTGTTGATTACGTGCCTTTTTTAGTTGTTGGCGTTATTTAAATGTTGTTTTAGTTCGCACCATATTTTAAACCAAAAGTAGTACTATTTTTTTAATATAACTTATGAAGGTACGATTTTTAAACTAACTACAAAAAATTTTTGTATTAAATTTTTTTTTATTTTGTAGCTCTCTTTCTTCTTTTTTTCATAACAACCTTGGTTTTTTAATTTTAATAAACTTATTGTTGTCATATTTTGAGTAAAGCTTGTTTACTTTGTTGAAGAATTAGCTACTTGTAAACGGAATAAATCAAAAAAATACTATTGTTACACTATTCTAAGCAAGTTAAAATATCATTTGCAACAAATTAAACTTGCAATTATTATGTTAGTTCTAAAGAAAACTGTACTGAAAGTTGTTATTATCCGCAGTAAATTTAGATCTTCATAAAAAATATTTAATTAGTAATTAGTTTATATAATAGCTACCTATAGTTTGATTTTATTAGTTTGATGATCACCCTACCGGTCCGTACCTGGCCCAATTAATTACGAGCTTGAAATTTTAAGTTTGGGCTCAGCCTAATCTGGCCCAACCCATACAGTTCTGGGCTCAGCCCAGCCTATTCTGAACTCTACCTATATGTTTTTTCTTTAATATAGTTACAACAAATGAGAGACAAAACAATAGTAAAAACATATCTCAAACAAGCAACCCTATATAAATAAAATTATATTTGTCAGGTTCAGTTTAACATGTTTTTAAAGTATTTATTTTATTTTTATTCTTTAGAGCATAGCAGAGAACTCATTTTTTATGCAAATGATCATTTTAATGCATTTTTAATAAAACATCAAAAAATGTAACTTTGAATTTTTTTTGTTGATCATTATTGCACACAGGGTTCATGACACACTAAAAAATTTGGTATGCTATCCGGCATACCATCTTTCAATTTTTGTACTACTTGCATATCATGGAATACTAAATACATAATATTAAAGCATTGGTAAAAATAAAATGTAAATATTAAATTTAACTTAAATAAATTTCAAAAAGTTATAAATTAAATATAAAAATGCATATATGGTTACAGAAATCTATAATCACTAATTACATGGTCATAAAGCAAGACGTCTTTAAAATTTTTTATATAAGCCATATTTCAAAAAACTGGCTAGTAGCTTTGTATAACTTATTGCAAAGAACAAAGTTACCAGTTAATTTTTTTTAAATATGGCTTATATAAAAAGCTTTAGCGATTTGAAATTTATATATTTACAAAATTGAAACAAATCATGTAAGTATTTTTTAATATTTGATTGGCTAATTTCAATATTACAGACAACTGAGAATTTTAATGATCATATTTCTCAAGCAATTTTTTATTGCCACATTATATTGTAATTATTCAAGCATTTTTTATTACTATATCATATCATAATTATTTAAAGAATGTCAGATTATATGTGGGTTTTATTGATTGGAGTGTTTTTGTTTTATTTTATCTATTATTTTTGTTATAATCTTTTTTTATATTTTATAAAAAAAATTAGGTGTATTAAATCTTTTATATGAAATTATTATTATTTATAATATACTATTATATATATATAGAGTAATACTTAATCAAATCAAATTCAAATAAAGGTTAATTTAATTTGATCAAATTCAAATATATTTGATATTTGATTTGATTTGATTTTGAGAAACTCTAACCTGTAATACAGATCTATTTTGGTTATGCAAAATTTATAATATATAATAAGAAATAAACAAAAAAATATATCAAGAACTATATAAAAAATAAAAACAAACAATTACAACAAACAAAAAATAATATAAAATAATTAACAACAGAAATTTTTAAAAAAAAACTTATTATAGCAAAAGAAGCAAAAATATAAATAAAAATATTCTTAAAAAAATTAATATAATATGAGGTGAAAGAACTTAACTATACAGAACTTGTATATAGAAAAAACAAAAAGCAATATAAATTGAAACTGATCTAATTAAATATATTATATATAAGATTATAAAAAGTTTATTCATAGCAAAAAAACAAGATAGATTGTATTTAATAAGAAAAAACAAGCTACTGAGTATATAAAATTTAAATTAAAATTAAAATAAAGCAAGAAACTTTAAGAACAAAGAATAAACTAATAAAGATAGTATAACAAAATAACATTAAAAGTATTAATACAGTATTTTAAAAAATTTATTAAAACTTTTACACCAAAGCAGTATAAAGAGAAGAAAAAATTTAAAAAACCAAAAAATGTAAAAATATCTGAATAAAAAATTAAGGAACAAAACAGCAAAAGCTTTATAGAAAAAAAATCTTAAACAAAATAATAAAAAAAATAAAACTAAAAATCTTAACAACAATTTTAAAAAAGATCAAATTTTTAATAATAATCAAAACAAAAATTTAAAAAAGAATATAATAGATTAAATTATAGAGATTGTATATTAAGCAATTAAAAAAAAATGTAAGACAATACTAAAAATTAAAAGAAGAAAAAACTACTAGCCAAATAGATTAGATAAACAAAATCTTATATAATAATAAATACAAATAAAAAAAATTTATACAAGATATAACAGTAAGAAGAGCAACAGAAGTCAAGAATTAAAAAAGAAAAAGAAAAATATACTGCTTAAAATAGTAAAAAAATCTTAGTAAAATTATTTAAAAATTAAGAGAAATATATTAGAATTTAAAAAAAGTTTCTTAAAAGAAAGTCTAATATACTGTAAATAAAACAAAAAAGAAAAAAGATTTTAAATCTAAAAAAAAGAAAAAAGAAAACCCAAACAGATTAATTAAGACCCAAAAATAAAAAGATCAAAAAGAATACTATTAAAATTAGAAAGAAAAAAAACTTATAAAAGAATGTTCTAAAAAAAGATTTCTAGAATAAATAATCTAAAAAAAAAGAAAAAATTCAAAAATACAAAATAAAAAAGAAAAAAAAGAAAAGAAGAAAAGAAGATATTTGAAAACCAGATTACTTTTTAGTAAAAACAAAATGAATTAAAAAAAGCTTAAATATGATTAAATAAAATTTAGCTATAATAGAATAGTAAATAAAGTTAAATTAGATATTAAAGTTAATTTTGGATTAGATTATTTTTGTAAAAAAAAGATAAAGCAAAAGAAAAAAATTAGATATAGTTAAAAATTTTTATAAAATAAAACTATTTTGTTATAGCTTTACTAACTAATTTGATGCAACTCTTCAGTATGAATAATAGCTTTAACTAGTGGAATAGTTAAATAATATTAGATCTACAACTTAGATAGTTTAGTATGTATTTATATATATATATACTTTGATCTAATAAAGATACTAACAAGTTACTAATATTTAAAAAAAAATACTTTTTACTTTTAAATTATTAGTTTATTTAATATAAACAAAACTTGAATCAAAGTATACAACAAATAGTATCTCAGAACTAAGGTTGAGATATGCCAAATTTTTGTAATATGCTTCTAGAAGCATGTCTTTGCAAAGGACATGTTCTCTATACTTAGAGTATGCTCTCTATAGATATATATCATATATTATTATAATTAGCAATAGTAGCATATAAGTTGATTTGTAAAATTAGCCAATAATTTTGATATACAGAATCATTTTTGATGATTCAATTATCAAAATATTTGTCTCAATAAGACAATTCCAATGAGTCCAAAATTATCAAAATCCAATTACAGGATCCTAAAATCATTCAAAATTTGTATAATTTTAATAAATATTTTAAAATTGCTTCAAAAATAGCTTTTATAGTGAAGAGCTTTTGATTTACTAATCTGTTTTGAATAATTTAACCACCAAAATGTTTGTCTTAATAAGACAATTCTAATAAATATAAAATAATTAAAATCTAATCACAAGGATCCTGAGATTAGTAAAAATTAATGTATATATAGACAATTAATGAAGAAATGGGTTACATATAAACTTTATATATGCAACCTATTTCTTTATTAATTGTCTATACATACACTGATTTTTACTGATTTTGGAATCCTGTGATTAGATTTTAATTATTTTATATTCATTAGAATTTTCTCATAAAGACAAATGTTTTGGTAGTTAAATCATCCAAAACAGACTAGTAGATCAAAAGTTATTCACTATAAAAGCTATTTTTGAAGCAATTTTAAAATTTATACAAAATTTGAATAATCTCAGGATTCTGTGATTGGATTTTGGCAATTTTGGACTCATTAGAATCGTCTCATTGAGATGAACATTTTGATAGTTGAATCATCAAAAATGATCTTGTAGATCAAAAGTTATTGGCTAATTTCACAAATTAATCTATATAGGTTTTAATTCTAATTGGCCAATTTGATAATTGACCAATTATATAATAGCTCTATATCACATGATAGGGACATCTTTTGGTCAAAAAGCAAGCTCTAGACATGCCTCAGGGGTATGCCTCTTAATCCATGCCCCAACTCTATTCACAAGCCTATTTATGTAAAATTATATGAATATTTTTTTTATTTATACTGCAAATTCTGCAACTTTTTGCGATTTTTTTAAAACTATACTATAAAATTCTGCGAATTTATACAATTGAACTTTTTTTAAAACAACTGACCCTAAGTCTCCATATCCTTCCAAAAAACACACTCATGATTTAGGTTCACTGATTGTTTATA